CCATATGTCCAGATTTGCCTGGACGCTGCCTTTAACGTTGCGAGCGCGCAATTTCGGGTCAACGCTTCGGCCTGGTCCATGTGAAGCAGACTGTGCGGGTATACGGGCAGCTATGGACACCGCCTGAGAATCGCAAACAATAAAGTTTTAGGTAAAATTTCGACCGATGACGGGTTACAACAAATTTGAAGTCAAAGATCTGACCCCTGCGGAGATAAAGTCAGCTGGACTGCTTGACAAAAAGGTGAAAAAAAAGATGCTCGTCTTGTACATGAGAATCAGTGTTCATTTCAGACCGCTGCTGAATCGGGTCAGAACGTGACAGTTGGGATCGCAAAGCCGGGGGTTGCCTATGTCCCTCCTCATCTTCGAAAAAGTAAGGCAATGCTCATTGCTGTCCTAATACACAAGTTCAATCTTTAGGATGACTCTGTGATTTTTACAATATAATCGCTCCACCTTTCGCTCTGTAAAATGTATCTTGACAATGTTCTTGCGGTAATTTTCTGCAGGAAAGACCATTTTGTTCCGTTTGGCTTGGATCTGGTATTTACCGTCAGTTCAAAAATATGAAATAGCGGCTTCTGGCTTCTGAAAAAAAGGTCCACGTCCTGAGTACTATACTCACGATTGCATTCGCCAGGCAATGTTCAGCACTCGAAGTGGCCAGTCGTAACAAACTGCATAGCATTGGATGCAGCATGAAACGATGAGTCTAATTGTGTCTCCTTATCTGCTGATGCAGAAGAAACTGCAAATCATTGTATTGCAATGAAGTCGTGTATGTGAAGCACAAATCCGCCCATACATGGCCGTGTTTAGTCAATACATGTTGCTAGGTCACTTTACCCTATATAGCACATAACCGGAGTTGAGCTAAAGTGGAAATGGTGTGCCTATTTCGCAATTTGTATGTGCACTTCATGCTATCTCATAACATCGTCTACGAAGCTGTCCAGCGGATACGAAAGACAGATTTGGACTCAGCGTTCCCTGCTGTTTGTGTTGACCAATCCACTTCGACTTTTGAATTCCTTGTTAGTGAG